GAAGACGGGCATACACCATACAGTGTGCTATAAGGGAAATTTTGCTCGGACAACGGCGTTACGGACTACTCTTATATCGAATTGCAACTGCTAAGGGATCTTTTACATGCACACCAATGTGCACACGTGACCTCGGTTTTTCGTCCCGTCCGAACGACTAGACAACTGCCATTGCCAGGCCCTCCACCCTTCTCTACTGACAAGGGGAAACCACGCCGGAAAATCACGACGAACTGTCTCGGCCAACATCAGGATCGAACCCGCGAGAGAGAGAGAGGGAGAGAAAGAGAGAGAGAGGGAGGGGATATAAACCAGTAGACCTTGTCACGTACGCGCTTGGGGTAGAAAACACGTTACTTGTCTCAGTGACAGAACTTATGATCTAAAGCGCACGTGTTTGAACTAACTGCCCCCCTCCCCCCACACACGCCCACTCACCCAATAATTACTAGTGACACACCCCGGGTTATATCATATGTCATACAGTTGTCAAGATTGGAATCTTTATCCGATCATTTGGTGTTTGTCAATTCACTTTTATCGTGTTCCGGCTACAGGGTAGATTCAGGTAATCTTAACCAATTAACTGATTAACACCCATGTCTGCTACGTGGGCTGCCGACATTTTAATACCATATTTAAAACCTACATCTATAATTTACAAGATAGTTTATTGTGGAAAGTCACGCAAAGACGCTTCTTCGGTGATTAATATTCGATATTGTCGTTAGATCGATTATAAACCCGGCTTATGCTTTGTTCAGCGTAGTTTATTTAAATCTCACTAAATTTTTTATGTCGTATGATGAAATGAAAAGAAATGGAGTGGGGGGGGGAGCTTAGCGTCCTATTTCTCTGCACCTAAAATTTAAAATACAATAACTATATGCGATAGTCAGCACAAACATAAAACATAATACATCAAATTCAAAATACAATATTTGTCATTTAAAGTACAAACATAATCCATAATACACATCAAATTCAAAATACAATACATGGGATATTACGTGGAAACATAAGCCATAATATACATCAAATTCAATATACAATACATAAACCATAATCTACATTAAATTCAAAATACAATACACGGGATATTACGTACACACATAGGCCATAATATACATTTAATTTAAAGCGGCAATCTCGATTAAATTTTGTGGAATAAAACTTTTTAATTTTGAGTTAAAAACCCTTAAAATCCTCTACCTTAGGACCGAACAACTAACTCTATATACATGATACGTTTTCAAACAATTTAAACCCGTCAGTCTTCATCTGGAAATGAAGACCGGTGTCCCAAGCTGTATTATACGGTGCCTAGATAAAACCAGACTTTTTGTTATAAAAATAACGTGCAGGTGAAATTTACCTTTCGTTATTAAGTACAGCACTTTATCAAGGACCCCTAAAGGAACGGCAATAGATTATCAGGTCGCCCAAAGAAAAGTTGACCCGAAACCTTGTAAGGGTTACGGGTCCGGATTTTGAGCTGAAATGTTGAGACAAGGTCAATACACCATTGCTCTATATTTTTGCGATTAAATGTCATACGTACATGGACTTTTATTTTTGAGATTCTGTTAAATTCGGGATGGTCCCTTTAAAATGCAACACATACAAATGACATGAAAAGGGGGTTTAACGTCCTACTGTTCTGCTCCGACTGAGCTAATGAAGACAGACATACGCCATACTGTGTACAATGAGGTACATTTTGCCCGGTCAGTGGCACGGTGGCCTACTCTTATATCGAATTCCAACTGCCAGCGGATCTTTTTACGTGCACGCCATTGCATACACATTTAGACAGCTGTTCATCCTGCACCATCCCGGTGAACTTTCTCGGCCAAAGCAAGGATGGAACGCGGGTTCTCCAGGCTAGCGAGCCAGCGCCTTACCCACTTACCCACCGAGACTCCCACAACAATTACAAACATAACCATTTAATATAACATCATAAACAAGTTAAATGATACACTGGATAAAACTAGGCCATAGACAGGTACAGTATATAGTCAGGTCTGTTAATGTTTACACTACCGCCCTGTACGTCTGGCGTTTACCTTAGCGATGCCGAAAGTCTCAGCCATAAATGTTCACGGATGTTTGCAACTATGTATATGTGTCGATGCTGTAGGCTATAATATATTGATTCCTTGTTTAATAAATCAGCTGTGGCGACCATATACCCACCTTAATTCCTAAATAATATTATTATGACGCTCATTAATGTCTTTCACATTAAAAATGATGTATTGATATAGCATCGATTCACAATTTGACACTTAAGCCCGTGTGCGCATGTTTGCTTCGTTTCCGCTCACGTTTCCCCCGTTTACATGCATTAGACCGACTTTTTCGCCGGCGGAAACGCATATATGGAAACGAGCTTTAGACAACGCACGATATAAGGCCCACTTTCCATGACAATGAACAACGAATATAATTTTGCCCGGACAGCGACACTACGGCCTACTAGCAAGGGAACATCTACGTGCACATCTCAGTGTATGGTAGACCTCGGTTTTTGCGTACCATCCCAAGAACTAGACACTGCCCCTTGTCAAGTCCTCTATCCTACACTACTGGCATGGGAAAACTGCACTGGGAAACTTCGAGGAACTGTCTCGGCCAACTCCTGTTTGCTTCGTTTCCGCTCACGTTTTCCCCGTTTACATGCATTAGACCGACTTTTTCGCCGGCGGAAACGCATATATGGAAACGAGCTTTAGACAACGCACGATATAAGGCCCACTTTCCATGACAATGAACAACGAATATAATTTTGCCCGGACAGCGACACTACGGCCTACTAGCAAGGGAACATCTACGTGCACATCTCAGTGTATGGGAGACCTCGGTTTTTGCGTACCATCCCAAGAACTAGACACTGCCCCTTGTCAAGTCCTCTATCCTACACTACTGGCATGGGAAAACTGCACTGGGAAACTTCGAGGAACTGTCTCGGCCAACTCCTGGAGTGAATCCGAGACATTCTGGTTAATATTCCAGAGTCTTACTCACTGATCCACGACGGATCCCGTAACGACTGAGATTCTGTGTGTCTAATTGTATCGATCAATGTACACCATTAAAATAATATCTTGTGAAGTAACTTTAAAATAATAGACGGAACGCCGTTATGTATGGAGTGGGAGTGGAGCTCTGGGTTCGGGTGGTACAGGGGGTTAACAGTACACTTGTACGGAACAGTACAAATAAATGATTAAAGCCATATATAAAATAACCAATCTGATTCAAACACAGATCCTAATTCTTTTCGTTTTTTATAGTTCAAAATTTGGTTTTAATTGTCTTTACTACACTAATATTTAAGTCTTCAAAGGCTCAATACCACTCTTGTTGTAACTGAATAATATGTCCCAATCTTTATTCTGGTCAACAAATTGTACTATTTTAGAATATTTCAATTAATTGATGATACAAATTTCATCTTAACACACCTTATTTAAAAATTTTGAAAAATTCAACATAATGGTTTGAAACGTCTAACGTAAACCTTTTCAAATGAAACTTCGATTTAAAAATATTTTCGAACCCTCTGGACAAGTAAAATAGGATGTAATGGATAATTTACACAACAGGTAGGACACTTGAACATCTAGTACTTAGATAGAGATATTATTTATTTTCTGGAGCTTTCAAGCCAGCAAGAGCGTTATTGTCCCTTTAAGTTGAAATCACTAGTATACATCGCACGTGGTTAGCGAGGCTCACTCACTCATCAGGAAGTTCCGGGATCGATTTCGCTATTGGTGGTGAAATATCCCAGAAGTTTGCTATTACAACTTTCTTCCATGTTAGTGGTGCACGTCGTGGTACAAGTAAAAAAAAACCATTGACAGTTTGAAGTCGAAGTCGAAGAAGAACAGAGAGAGAGAGAGAGAGAGCGAGAGAGAGAGACAGACAGCGAGAGAGAGAGAGGGAGGGGTAACGTCAACTCGATACAAACTAGGTCATTTCTGGACTAACATATTGTTCATTTTTTATTTCAATAATGCGCTTGCGCGTATGGGTCATTCGCTATGGGAGGAAACCTGGAGGACCTGGAGAAAACCCACGAGGTTGGACAGGCGACCCTACTCCTTGTCATGTACAACCAGGGAATGGAAACCACGCCGGTTTACTCAATGATACATCACTCACGTGCTAACCATTCGACCATCCATCCCCGCCCCCTCCCTATTTTGGGACCGAAATTTGCGGTGAGTACGGCAGTGCTTGAGAGGGGTTGGGTCTAATCAAACGAAACATCGCGAGGAGTATGGCTGGACACTGCGCAAATTTTCCTCATAGAATAGTATATGCGTTAGGGCCGCCTTCATGTGCCGAGTTGCTGTGGAAAGGTATGGCGTTACGCCTCATTTCGTGTTGCATTACGATTATTGTTTCATGAATGGCGAGTAGGAATGCCGTGAATTCAGCGTGTAAAAATTACTGAAATATGAAAACTGAGCGCGTGTCAGCAAGTTAACAATTTTCAATACTGTGAAAGGTAGACTCCTAAACTTTTACGCCGTGCTGACTGCACGCGACATTTCCATCTCGTAGCTTAGCTATACACAGCGGTAATACAGTTGATGCAGGTAATAACTGATAAGCGATACCACGACGGGGTTAGTATATCAGTATCATTGCTATCGAATAGGGTGAGCGTCACTCAATAATTACAAATGGAAGGCGATACACACTCTTATAAAGGTTTTTCGGTTTTCTAACTAAAAAAAAACAATTCATAATCAAATGATTACTTTTATATGTTTATTGTTTCGTGTAGGGATGAGCGGTACCACAGCGGAGTGAGTGTAAGAATTATTGATATTTAACGTGTGGTGTGCGCGACTTGTTTAGAGTATATACAAACTAAGCAAGCTGCACCGCCCTTTTGTCATAAAGTAAAGCAAGTCGAAGTGTGACAAGCAACTGCTATATATAATACAGTTAGAGCTAGTCCAACTAGCGTGCGACTGGGTAGTCTCGCTATTGTTCTCTAACAAAGTTCCGGTTGTTGTGTAGAGACGGTCTTCATATTACGTTACACTCCATCAATGAAACACGAAACGTTACGTCAGAACAAGACAGAGATTTATAGCTGCTTTTGTAATACTTTTATAGACCTTACTTTTTCTTTTCTTTCCAGAACCGTGCCGATCATAATGGCTTTAATGGAAGCGGACTAAAAAAATATGGAACGGCATTCGGAGTCCTTGCAAGAAAAGTTACACCACGGAGATTTACAGATACATGTAGCCGATTCAATTGTTTATAATACGAGCATGGTGCACGGCGATCACAATAACAGCGAAATGGCAGTGAATATCTCTGGAGTGAACCTCGGTGGTCAGACAACGCCATTTGATATGTATGATGAACCCCCACCTCAATTTGATGATATCAGTATGACCAAATCTGTTGTGTTTGGAACGATGTTTGTGATTTCATTTTTTGGGAATACTGCAACATTGATACAGATGTATCGTATGCGACATCGGAAATCAACAATTAATACACTAATTGTTAATCTGGCCATCGCTGATCTTCTTATCACGTTTTTCTGTTTGTCCGGTGAAGGAATATGGGCAGCCACCGTTCAGTGGTATGGAGGAGTAGCTATGTGTAAAATCGTCAAATATGTTCAAGTTTTTTCTCTATACCTCTCCACTTATATTACTGTGGCTATAGGTTTGGATCGTTGTGTTGCTATTTTGGATCCTATGAGGAGGAAAAGTGCCCCAACACGAGTTCGGACTATGATTATTCTTGCCTGGTTTTTCAGTGCCTTATTCAGCATTCCTCAGGTTGGTCGAATGTTTGTCTCTTACTTTAATTATTAAGTCCGTTGGTCGAATGTTTGTTCCTTACTTTAATTATTAAGTCCATCCATCGAATGTTTGTCTATATTTTGATTATTAAGTCCATGGATCGAATGCTTGCCCCTTACTTTAATTGATTAAGGATTTTGGAACGCATTAGGGACAGAAGAAGGACCATAGAGGCCCAAAGCTAATAGAAAAGGGAGTTGCCCCCTCCCTCACCATATATAAACAATTCAAAATATAAACAATAATAAACAATAAATTTTTGTTTTATTATTTTTCAAAATAAATCAAAGCTTATCGTGTCAAACACGCATGGTTAGAGTTCTATGGTTTTATAAACATCATTATCAGTTGAGACAATGTAGCTTATTTTGTTTATGGTTAATCCAGCCCCGGGGCGATATCAGTTTAACAAAAAATCACTGGTTGTTGAAAGATCGAAAGTTAACCCTGTTTTGAAATATTGAAAGTTGATATTTTTTTATTGAAATATTGAAAGTTGATATTTTTTTATTGAAATATTGAAAGTTGATATTTTTTTTAAATGATATGTTTTATTTGAAATATTGAAATTTGATATTTTGTTGAAAAAATATAGAAAGTTGTTTTATTCTATCCAATTACTAAAAGTCATTCAGAGACTATTTTATAGAAATATCGAAAGTTAACATTTTGTTGGAATATCGAAGGTTAACATTCAGTTGTAATATCAAAAGTTAACATTTTATAGAAATATCGAAAGTTAACATTTTGTTGGAATATCGAAGGTTAACATTCAGTTGTAATATCAAAAGTTAACATTTTATAGAAATATCGAAAGTTAACATTTTGTTGGAATATCGAAAGTTAACATTCAGTTGAAATATCGAAGATTAACATTCAGTTGTAGTATCAAAAGTTAACATTTTGTTGGAATATCGAAGGTTAACATTCAGTTGTAGTATCAAAAGTTAACATTTGTACAGATATTTAAAGTTAAAGATAACATTTTATTGAAATATTTAAAGTTCAACTTAAATTAATATTTTGAAGAAAACTAAAAATAAATATGCTGTAGATAAGTAATAAAATGTAAATAATTTAAGATACTAAAGATACGTTATGGGAGATTAGGTAAAGAACTGGCAGTTCTCACCATAATAGTTAAAAACTAGATAATGTAAAGGGAATTTTGCTGAAAATTTAAAGTCAAATTGATCAACTATGAATCGAGAATAAAGCGATTGAAATTTCGGCCTAGCTTCGATCATCATTACTAAAGTCGGTACGATAAAAAAACATAGTCTCGATTATCCATTTCATGATTAAATCATGAATGAAAAATAATTAGCAAATCGGATCATAATCCAATAAATATCGCAGGCTAGAGTTGACATCGAGAGTAGATTATGGTCTGGATAAGTTTTAAATTAATATCTAATTAATAGTTTAGATAACATTTCAGGCCTAAAGAAAGACCTGCAATAGGCAGATTTAGCTCTTGCATAATGTATGTTTAAAAAACACTCATGAAGCATAAAGCCTGCGAAAAGCAAAATTGCTAAAGCAAGAGCAATTTATCAAGATTAACATTAGTTCGTCAAACACTATTTGACTATTTTAGAATTAAAACATTTATGCAAAATATTAAATGTGCTTCTGGGCTCGGTATTGAACTTTAAATATTTTAAAAGTCTTCACGAAATGCCAATTATGCCAAAGTCTGTTCTTAAATAACAATATTAATGCTTGTACGTCCTCTAGCTATTATATCGATTTTGGATTTCATTTTGTGGACACTTTGTCTTTTCGTACCCTTTAGAAATTAGATTAAACCAAGGACCGCGATGAATGTTTGGTTCCGGGTTAGGGGCTTTGGGACATTCAAACCTGGTTCAGACCTTTAAAGGGTGACACTTGCGGGTAGGAACTGACAAGGAGAGCCTGTCTAGTGGATAGTCCATCGAGTTCCTGTAAAATATTGGTAGTGCACTTAAAATATTCCTTGGCGACTAGAATTCGATGAACAGTAGACTGAAATGAAGCTGTCCGGGCAAAATCCCCCTCCCCCGTCCCGCTGTTAATGAGACCTATGAAATGGAGCAATCTGATTAAAATCCAAATCTATATTTCGTTTCGTTTTGGATGGCCTACACTACATGCAGATCTGATCGGTTGTAGTGGGGGTCGCGTCATAGTTCATACGAGCACCTTTGACCCTATAACGTCAGACATTGATTATTCAACTAGCGTTGACGTTTTTAGTGGTTTTACAACAGTTCCGTGCATCGCACGCCAAGAACTCGCCGTAACAAACCGTTTCATTGGCTAATACATCGCATTAACCAGAACGCGGCTTATATATTATAACTTTTCCAGATTCTAGTGTTGTGAAGACATGTAAAACAAAATTTTGAACTATAAAAAACGACACGAAATAGGATTTATCCTCCCACATTTTAGCTCCGACTGGGCTAGTGAAGACGGCGATTCTTCAGCGAACAGCAATGGCGTTGTTAATTAAATTGTAAAACGAAATTATTAACAGCGTGTTTAAGAAATACGATCCAGCTTATTTAACTTTTGAAAGCCATCTTTGAGTTTTCATTTTTAAAAGGCCACGCCATTTTGATTTGACTGATTTTAAAATAAGATTATCAATTTAATAATAATAATAATAATAATCATCTTATATAGGGCTGGAATTCCAACCAAAACTCTGCTCATTGGCGCAAATGACAGAATCATTAAAGTCATTAACAAAATGACTGTCGGAATAGTTCTGTTTTTAAGTGCCTTTTAAAAGATTCTATATTGTCACTGTTTTTTACACTTTGTGGTAAAGAGTTCCAATTAATGGGAGCAGCGAAGGAGAAGGTACGATCAGCACGATTTGACTTTGTTAAAGATACGATCAGCACGATTTGACTTTGTTAAAGGTAGGATCAGCACGATTTGACTTTGTTAAAGGTACCATTAGTAGATTATTATCACATGATCTTTAAGTGTACGAGTGATTATTTTGTTTACAAGCTAGATCTCGTATATTACCTTTTAGGTTTTTACCTGGATAATGAATGAATGATTGTGCGGAAACGTCACACGAATAACATTGTCGGCAACAAGGGGAAATCTAAGGCCCCAGACATAATTGGTTTTTGGATGTATAATCTTGTTCAAATACGGTCAAACTACAGCTTGATATAAAGACTCAAAGTAACAAAAAATATTTGAGGTATTAATAATGAAGATATGAATTATAAGGTATTCTTTGAAAGCATAAAAATCTGCATTTGCATGTAGAATCGTCTTTTGACGCGATTTGTAGAGTACCTAGATTTGTTTTCAGATCTAGATTACTAGAGTGGTCAACACAATATCATCAGTAAGAAAGATTCCAAATACAAAGCTTGCACTGAGCGCAGAACATATTAGACACTTGTAACCAGCAAAATGTTTAAATGAAAGGGGAGAAACACTTGTTTCCGATAATGTAATAATCTTAGTTTCTTGTCAAATGGTGAATGTTGCCACTGCTTCACTTTCGTTCTATTTGCAGCATTATACCCGACGATAAGTCGCTGACAACGTATACAATTCTCGCTAGACAATTATGAACCCGTTCCACACAAATGTTAAGGATTTTATCGTGGGGTCCCGAAATACCCCTTGTATACGCACAAGGGTTAAGGGTTCTTTAACGCGCAAACCAACATTTATATGGGACCTCGGTTTTTCGTCCTATCCGAATTACTATCACAGAGATATAAAAATATAAAATATGTGCCATAATAACGTATTGACAGCTTATTAATAAATTCTGTTATCCAAGAGATGGTGTTAGCATATTCTTCCTGGTAAAGTTGTTAATTTATTGACATAAAACGACAAATGATAGTCAGTTCATACTGTTGCTGCGTGTCGTCGTTAAAGAAATTGCCATTAGAGTTAGGATGAGAATTGAAATAAAATGAACATCAAAGAGATGAAGTCACAGCTACCTGTTGTCTCAGAAGTTATGGAAATGACAGATTTTAATTCTGATCATTTATCATATTGATTTTTACCCGTGGACGCTTTTTAATATTGACAGAATCATTTTCTTTGATATTCTGGCTTTTAGTTTTGACTTATGATATTGACCTTTTCTTGTGGATAACTTAATTATCCTTGGATTCATGATAGCTCTGATATTTTCTTGTGAACTTTCTCAGTGTTGACTGCTGCTTTTTTTTCTTAAACATTCTGAAAAAGTTTAGTTTTGGCATTTTATGATATTTGCATTTTCTTTTGAACGGTTCTCAGTGTTGACAACTTCATTATCCTTAAAATTCTTGAATTTGACATTTTCTTGTGAATGGTTTTCAGTGTTCACAACTGCTGATATGAGTTGGGGTTTTTTTCCTTGCAATTCTGGATTTTAGTTTTGACATTTTCTTGTGACCGGTTCTCATAGATGACAGCCGGTTTTGTTTTTCATTTACATTCTGGCTTTTGATTGTATGACATTTTATGATATTGACTATTCTTGGGGTTGAGATTTTGGTTGTCCGTGGATTCTTTCTTTTAGCTTTGGTGTTTTCTTGTGAACGGTTTTCAGTGTTGGCAGCTGCTGGTGTTTTTTCTTGGCAATTCTGGCTTTAAGGTTTGGCATCTAATGATATTTCCGTTTTATGGTGTTGGTAGCATTGTTTTCTTTGAATTTCTTGATTTTAGTTTTGGTATTGTAGGCAATTGACTAATTATTGTGGATGGTTGACAGAGTTTGCTAGTTTATGATAGTTTTTCTTGTGGACGGTTCTTATAGTTGACAGCCTAAATGTTCTTGATATTCTGGATTTAAGGTGTTGGCGTTGAATGAGTTTAATTGTTTATTATTTAAATAACTTTCTTTGACATTCTGGATATTTTATGGACTGTTCTCATTGCACACAGCTTGATTGTTCTTGATATTTTGGATTTGATTTACATGTTTTCGTTGTTTACGACTTGATTGCTTT